TGAATACTTATCGCTTCCATTTTCTGATTAATACAAGTTAGAACAAACACATTTTTCAGTTATTGACGTTTTCAATCAATCAATCAATCAATCAATCAATCAATCAATCAATCAATCAATCTATCAATCAATCAATCAATCATTTTTCACTTGATAGGAATTGATTGAAATATTCATTAACCTATTCCAATCTTTGTCAATTCATCAGTTACCTGCCAATCCAGAGATGAAGCAGAAAGAACCCAGGCACAGAAACCTGATGAAACGAGATCAGAGAAGGAACAAAGTGGAGCTACACCACAAGAGGAAGAGAAAATGGGAAAGACAAAAGCCCACGACAAAGAAGAAACTCCGATTATCTGGTAAAATATTGTACAATAAGTTGGTGCTGACGCGATTTATTTCAATGTTGTGATCAAACTCTTCATAAAACGATTGTGTAAAATAAGGATCTAGAGCAATTTTGTTGCTTAAAGGGGGCAAAAATATGAAAAATATGGCTTTTTTGAAGAAACTTATTGAAGAAAAATTGATGGATGTGACCATGTTCAACGGTTGTAGGTGCATCAAAGGGTATTTGCAGGTCTTCGTAAAGAATCCTCTCCTTCGTGGACCAAGGATGCTCTGTTTCCAGCTGGAGCCAGAGACGTCCATCTCATCCTTGAAAGAGAAGATACACGAGAGGATTGGTGTCAAACCCAAACTTCAGCATCTTCATATCAGGAGAAATACTCGTAACTTTCAGGTAGAAATAAAACTTTCTCACTTTACACACCCGTAGTTGTAAATTCTGGAAACATTAATCATCACTTTCATAACCATCTAGATTTGATTTTTCCTGAAATATTTCAGTTTCTTCAATGTCCTGTGCCTGCTTTAGATGAAAAATATTTACAGAAGATTTGCTTCAGTTATCTCAGTTTTTTTTATGTGTGAATGCAAATATATTTTACTCACTACTAGGTTTCTCTTCTTAATGAGTCGCATTTCATCGTCTCTTTATGCCTTGCCAGCTTCATGACTTGCTTACCCTTAACGACTGTGGAGTTCAACAAGATGAGACTATCGTACTTTGTCTACCAACTGGTGGCCTACTGGGTGGTGGACGAACAGGTGAAGAGTTACTGGAAACATGACTATTTGACAAATAATGGGTTTTGCCCTTACCCAACGTACAGTGTGTACATTGATAAACACTGTATGCTTAGTGCTTGTTCGAGAGCTTGTTACTTTTGCATTCCTGTGATGTTCAACGATGGAATCCGTATTCTAAAGAAAAAATTTAAAAACATCTTGTTCATAATGTTTAAAGGTAACATTTATGCGTTTGAACCAAGACCTTGCAAACTTACACTTTCTCAGTTTAAGAAGTTTCAGCCTTCATAATTTAAAGTCATTCTCAATATTGAACCTAAACATTTAAGGTCAACTTCTGCTTTTCTGTGCAGATCCCAACGATGTGGCAAAACAAGACACCAATAAGAAACAAACGGATGGCAACCGTGTCAACCCTCCATCTGATTCACAAGAAACACCTCGGCAAGGAGAACAGCAGAGTACTAGGTCTGAAACACAAGACTTTTCCGTAAAGTCGTCATCACAGCACAAACGAACGGCCCAAGAACAGGATTCCCAGCAAGGGACATCGTCGAAGAGAGCTAGACAGGGAGAGGCAGGCAAGTTGGATGACAGCAGCCTCTACAGCTTATCCGAACAGATCTCTGCAAAGAAATGGACAAAACTGGCTATAAAGCTAGGCTTTTGCCATGCTGAAGTCACGCATTTTGAGGCTGAGCATCCCAGTGATGTTGTCAGACGATTCTTTGACATGCTGGTTTCATGGAGAAACCGACAATCTGGTGATGTCAATCAGACAGAAGCTCTCTGCAAAGCATTGAAGGAGGTTGGGGAAACAAGACTTGCTGACAACTTGGCAGGTATGTTTATTTTGTGATGTCAGCTGCAGTCATAGTCATAGTTGCATGCTCTGAAGTAATTAATATATCATGGAATCTAGGCAGATGGAACTTACAGAAACAGGATCAAAAAAGGTCCCGTTTCTTGAAGCAAGTGCTTTCGGGTGATAGGAATAAGAAACCTGGAAAGAAGAGTCCTAAAGCAAAGGATGGAGTCATTGCTGTTTTGGGAGTGATAAGCAATAGCATCTAATAGTACAAACAATTTTTCAAGATCCTATGCACGCAAGGAAAACACATGAAATTTCTTGAACGTTTGAAGAAAGTCTATGCAAGAGAATCCCAGAATATGAGCACTTCACATTGCACTTTGCATGACTGAAATATTTTGAAAATGGTAAATTTTGATATCATCAATTATTCGTGGCACAATCTGTGGTCAATAATATTGATCACCATTCACAAAGTTGAAGAAGCAACAGGCAGTCAGTACATGTATGTAAATATGTCCGATGAGTCCGTATCCGTTCACGTTTCTTGAGCTTCAGTGCAAATTTCTGTCTTTTGGGTAATATTCTTTTATGCTCCTTCATGTTTGTTTCAATGGTGGCATGCACAGGTGATAGGCTCGGTGAATTTGCTCCCCAAAGTCTGAGAAAAGAAGGAAGAATGAAAACTCTACAGCTCAGAAACTGCTTCAATCCACTCTGAGCTTGGTTATGTATGGTCCGGCCAGGATATGCAAACAGTTTGGGAGTAAAAGTGTAAAAGTTGTAACATTATTCCGGATCACATTTGTTTTATTCTGACAACAAACACGACGAGATAGAGTAGTCACCCAGATGCAGAATAAATGAAGAAAAGGATTTGTGTTCGTAATCTAGTCTTCTACAGATTTCTACGTAGATATTAAGAAAGCAAATAATGTGCTTTGTGTCTCTGTATTTCTGGATATTTCATTTCTAGAACGCTCTACATCTGATGTCCAATCCCAAGTTGCTACCAAATGTAAAGATGCACTAAAGGAGCGCTATGAGTGTACAGGGGCCTATGTACCGCTGAATCCATGGCTTGGTAAGCACAAGAAACACTTTGTGGAAATCTACACCAGGTTACAGTTAGCAAAGGCTCGAGATCGTGAAAAACTGATGCAGGGATTAGAATCTCTAACTGAGAGTACATCCAAAGACAGGGTGGTTTCTTATGAGGATATTTTACTCCTTAAAACAGAAACAGGCAAATTGATCCAAATAGCTGTATTAAGTGGTTTGGCTGGTAGAGGAAAGACCACTCTTTTGGACAAAATTGCACTTGACTGGGCAACAGGCTGTAGTCAGGTACTACAGAAGTATGAACTGGTCTTCCTTTTGAAAATGTGTTACTTGGAGCAGGTGTCGAGTCTTATTGATGCAGTTTTTGGCCAGTTCTTATTCGCTGAAGGTGCCTTTAAAGACACAGAGAAAGATGCTCTTATGTCATATATCCAGGAGAATGCGGACAAAGTCCTTTTTCTTTTGGATGGTTTTGATGAGTTGAAGACCATCTCCCTCAGTAATCCCATACTGAAGATCCTGAATAGAAAGTTGTTTAGAGGCTGTACTGTACTTGTCAGCACCCGCCCCTCACACTTTGACAGATTGGTATCAAAGGAACTGGTTCAAGAACCATACACACATGTCAGGGTTCTGGGGTTCAACACAGAAGACATGAGAGATTATGTGAAGAGATATTACTCAGATGAACCTGACAAGGCTGAGGGGCTTCTAGAAAAAATTCAATCCTCTAACAACTTTTCCACTTTGGCAGAAAGTCCAATGTTGCTTCTTTTGATGTGTTTGTTGTGGAGAGAAGATTCCACACTCCCAGAAACAATGTCACAGTTGTATCAGAGAGCAATTAAATATATTGGCAAAAGAAAGGATATTTCAAAAGAGGAAATGTCCAGAGTTCTGATTGCCCTTGGCCAGGTTAGCTTATGTGGTCTTCTCTCCCAAGATCAAGAACTGACTTTTCAAGAAAGTGGCTTTGAGCAGAGTGTGCTTGATACAGCTCTAAAAGTTGGTATTGTTACCAGACAAACAGTCTTTAAGAGTAAGAGCCTAGAGCCCCACAGCATTGTGCAGTTCATTCACAAGACATTCCAGGAATTTTCTGCTGCTGCGTACTTGCGAAACATATCTAAAGCAGACACAAAGACGTTTCATGATACTGTGAATGAAATCATGTCGAAGGACCCATTAGCTTTTGGATATCTTCTGCGTTTTTGTTGTGGTGACAATGAGGCATGTACATTAGAGATACTGAAGGTATTTCAGGAGAGGCATCAGAAGGATTTGTCATTTATCAGTGAGGTGGGTCAGTTGGCACTTCACTGTTACTTTGAAGGTCAGTGCAAATGTTTGCCTCCTGAAGAATTCATACATTCATTTCTGACTGATCACATTGCCATACAGAATCTTAACGATGACAGTGGAAACTCAGTGAGATACTTTGTGCAGCGTATTGCTAAGGAGACAAGGGACAGTGGCAGGGCATACCTTGCTGATGTCAAGAGCGTGATTATTAGTTCGGATTCTGTACATGTATCACATATTGTAGAGGCGTTCAGTGGTCTACCCAACTTGGTCACATTGGAACTGTATGGTTGTAGGCTGTGTGGTACAGCAGTGTCATGGGGCAAGCAGTTGAGGCAGTGCAAGGCACTGCAGGAGCTGGACTTGAGGTGGTGCTTCTTGAATGGACAGGACATGGTACATGTTGCTGAGTCACTCAGTGGTCTACCCAACTTGCATACATTGGATCTTATTCACAGTGACCTGGGTGGTACAGCAGTGTCATTGGTCAAGCAGCTGGGGCAGTGCAAGGCACTGCAGCACCTGGGCTTGAGTGACTGCTCATTGAATGGAAAGAAAATGGTACATGTTGCTGAGTCACTCAGTGGTCTACCATACTTGGTTACATTGAAGCTTTCTTGGAATGACCTGGGTGGTAAAGCAGCATTATGGGGCAAGCAGTTGGGGCAGTGTAAGACACTGCAGGACCTAGACTTGAGTGGCTGCAAATTGAATGGACAAGACATGGTACATGTTGCCGAGTCACTCAGTGGTCTACCATACTTGGTTACATTGAAGCTTTCTTGGAATGACCTGGGTGGTAAAGCAGCATTGTGGTGCAAGCAGCTGGGGCAGTGCAAGGCACTGCGGGACCTGGACTTGAGTGGCTGCAAATTGAATGGACAAGACATGGTACATGTTGCTGAGTCACTCAATAGTCTACCCAACTTGGTTAGATTGAGGCTTATTAAAAATGATCTGGGTGGTGTAGCAGCATTGTTTTGTGCAGAGTTAAAGCAGTTCAAGGCCCTCGAGTATCTGATGCTCGGGGACCGTGAGGTGACAGAGAAAGAGAAAAGGCATATCAAT